GCGGTAGAGTTGGATCAGAAGCTGCAGGGACGCGCTGTGCTGGTGCGCGTGGTGCAGGGCATGGAGCCCTCGCACTTCATGGCCATCTTCAGGGGCAAGATGGTCGTCTATGAGGGCGGGCACTCGTCGGGCTTCAAGAGTATGTGAAATAATTTGCAATTTTCATGATGTTAAATAAAGCGCCTTGTATTGCATAAATGACGATATTATTTTATTGCGTTCTATTTATTAAATACGCATCGCAATTATATATTATTGCAGTCTATTTATTATATATGTATCACAATTATATATTATTGCGTTCTTCAAATTGCGATATCATGTTTCCACTGACAGCGCAGTAGAAAATAATGGATTAAATATTGAATTTGCTTATCTCATGGAATTAGATGTATTAACAACATTAAATAAATCTATTTTTTGCCATACACGTCTTTTAATGATTATTATCCCAAACAGATATAAATATAATGATTGGGTAGAAAGTGTTTTTCCTGTTACCACTCAGAATAATGTACGAGAAAATTTAGTGACCGCAGTTATAACATAGCTTCTATTTAGAAATTTCTCCAATAATTAATCCGTGATTATGGCCCGTATTGATTATTATTCATTATTATTATAATGTATTCTTAATTTTGTTGATATTAATCAATTATTAATAAGAGCGACGTGTGTGCGGGCAGGTCTGAGTGAGCGAGAAGTGTCGCGTAAGTCCACCTACACGCTGCAGGTGCGAGGAACCACCAAGTTCAACACCAAGGCTGTCGAGGTGATGAGTCACGAATTAATATAGTTGAATAATAAAAAAATACTCGAATTAAAAAATATTTGAGATGAGAAAATAATTGAATAAAGAATGGGGGGTCATCGTGTTATTAATTCCCTCTGTTCTTACTTTACGAACCAATTAAAATGTGGAGCATTTGTTTCGTTTATGACAAAAAGCCTAATTTTGATGTTAATTCCAGTTCACGGTTTAAAAATCTCTTTTTTCATCAAGTTTCTGTACCCAAAAATAATTCTTGGTAATTTGTTGTTCAGGTTGATCACCGCGCAGGCTCGCTGAACAGCAACGACTGCTTCCTGGTGGTGTCCCCCGACCAAGCGTTCTTGTGGTGCGGTAAAGGCTCGACGGGAGATGAGCGCGAGATGGCCAAGAACTACCTCGCTGGCAAGGCAGATCCTACCATCGTCATGGAAGGTTCGTGCTACCTGCCTACCTCAGATCCTACCATCGTCATGGAAGGTTCGTGCTACCTGCCTACCTCATACCTACCGCCTTATCTACCATTTACCTACCTATCGTCATATACCATATATCGCCTATCGCAATATCTACCGCCATACCTGCAGCCTTGTCTATACCAGGGCACCTGACGTTGAAATGGTGTTGATGAATGGTTGTTGCAACAAAATCTACTCGTAATAAACATTATTTCAATTTTATTTGATCGGAAGGTAAAGAACTACGTCGCTTGCAAAGCCAACCATACCATCCACCATCATGAAAGGTTTGTTCCACTCTTCATGGGATCTATCGTCTTCCTCATAAGGCATCTGACGTTGAAAAAAACGTTGATTACTAATTGTTACAACGAAATCTAGTCATAATCAAAGTTATTTCAATTTTGTTTGCTCGGAGGGTAAAATTACTTTTATTTTTGTGATTTTATGTCATTGCTTGAGTAGTGTTGTCGACAGCGTTCGTTGAATATTTATACTCTCGTCCGGAGCAGTGAAATTGATTCCGATTTCGCGATGGAACAATACATTTGGAGTCGCTCATCAGAAACTTTGGCATTTAGGATATTTCCTTGTCGCGCCTTTTCCATCTTTTCGCTAATCAGCATTACACATGAGTGAAGCTAACACTTACTACGTTTAGCTTTTAGCGGAGGCAGTCTGAATGCTTCTGTCATTAGTTTACATTTCTGAGTGTTTTTTCAGTCCACTAAGTCCAATTTTGTCCCAGACCATAAAATTTAAACTGAAATCAAATTAATTTAATAAATAAAATGGCATAATTATCACTCTGAACAGGGCGAGAACCTGAAGAATTTTGGAAGACGCTTGGCGGCAAGGAAGCTTACGCC